AAAAAAAAAAAAGACATAACATTATATATTTTAACTTAGTTCATAAATACATCTTTAGTTAAAAAATAAATTAATTAAAAGGTAATAAAATATGGTAACGAAAACTCCCCACACTACATGTGGAAATACCAGATCAAAAAGAAAACAACTGTTTCATTTTTTTCTAAAAATAATGCTAAACAAAATACTTCACTGTAGGCTCATTAGTATGTTCAGCAGTGGTATCACTGTAAAAGATCAAACCCATCTTTACTGGACTAAAATGGCCTAGGTAGTTCTTTGCTGGCATCTCACAGGGCTCAACTGCAGGTCAACTTTTACTATTTAGGTGAACGTATTCAGAAAGTAAAAAGAACTAGAGAAACGCCAAGTGGTATTTATATTACAAAAACATTTTCTTAACACTTGTATTTTTAATGGAAATATCTCCACTAATGAGATCGTCAATAAATGCTGCTTAAACTACCTTCCCAAAATACTGCAAAACTGTGTCCATTTCTCCATACCCTTGCCAACAAGTTTTTTTGTGAATTGCTTTGCCTATTTTTCCACTGAGACTGTTAAAGAAACTCATGTATTTCCCCTTTTCTTAACAAAACCCAAAAAGGAAACGAAGCCCAATGAACAAAGTTACATATTTTCAATATTATCTCTGATTTATTCTCACAGGGAAGTAATGAATCATATTCTCAATCACTAAAATCGATTTTACTTCACCTTAAGATTTTTGAGTATATTTAAGTAATACAGAGATCAGTATACAAATAAAAACACCAAAGATCAAGATTTTAAAAGATTAAAAAAACCTGTTCTGAAAACATTATTTTGCAAGTATCTCATTCACTTTAATTATACAGATATACAAACCTTAATAAATGAAGTATTCTTGAAAATTTTATATGGAAATCCAGTTAGCTTTAATTTCTTCACAATTTTTATGGATTTATCCAGATCAAGAACAACTCCTGTGGCAGCAATCCGGAAATCAGGCTAAAAGGAACCCATAAGATTTGAATAATCCCAGTAAGAGAAAAATAACAATTCCTTGTGATGTAATAAAATACTGCAGTACACTGACATACTTAATAAACATGGCACTTTGAGACATAGTCTAACCATAGCAGTAGTTAAGTACTCAGCTCTTAACTGAAAGGTCAGCATTTTGAACTCACCAGTCTCTCTGCAGGAGAAAGATGTGGTAGTCTGCTTTTGTTAAAGATTTACAGCCTTGGAAACTCTGTGAGGAAGGTCTACTCTGTCCTATAGGGTGACTAAGAATCAGAATCAACATGATGGCAAGGGAGGTTAGCCATATATAGTCTTTCTAACTCTCACCAAATGACTGGGTGGGACTATGCTATGAGATGCTTGTGGCCCACTAAGGGAATCAGACAGCTTGCTAATAATGTAAATAGCATGGCAAGGTGCTCTTGTGGGGGTGGGACCATGCAAATAAGGTGCATGGAACCCTAAGGAGGGAGTTGGTCACTTCTGTCATCCTGCCAGGTTTAAAGGAGAGCCAATCCCAGAGCACAGGTCAAGGACTTGACTACCACCAAGATGGGAGTGGAGTGTGCCCTTTAGACTTGTGCTAGGAATCTTCTAGACCCAGGAGACAGAGAACTATAACACTAGAGATGGTGAGAGATTACAAGAAGCAGTGACAGAGAAATGGTGGCAGCAAAGGCATTACCACCAGTAGACCATCAAGAGATAGTGTGGTGGGTTTTCTGGCTTATAGCGGGAAAGAGCTAAGTGCCTTTGAGCCAAGGCTCAGTGGCAGAGTGGGAGTCTTTGCGCACCTGTTGGAAGAACTAAAAAACTTTGTAACACTTGTCCAAGCAGGGCTGAGGTCAGGCTAGCCCAAGAAGGCCGAGAGGCTGAGGCCAGAAACAGGCATGCCTGTGTGCACAGCTGAGAAGAAGAGCTGTCCTGATCGAAGAAATGTAACCTGAGTTGTTTCTGATCCTTAATTGCAATCTATCACTTCCCTAATAAACTCCATAATTGTAAGTTCTGTCTGTGAGTTGGGTGGCCACCGCAACGAATTAGCAAACTCAGCAGAGAAGTAGAGAGAGCCATGGGAAAGAGAGCTGATGTCAGAATTGGTAAAAGGGTTGGAAATAGGAGGCACATCTGAGGTCTTCGTCATAGGAATTAGTCATGGCCTGTTGCTGATGATTCTCTCTCCCCTTCAGGAAATTAGAGGAGGTTAGAAGACCCTGATGTCTCTTTTACAATTACTGAAGTGCATTTCACTTACAATAAGCTAAGAAAGAATTAGAGAACATCTAAACATGCAAAACAGTATTTTAACAAAAGCAATCTAACACTTAATATGTGTAAATCATACTAATGATGATGATATGAATACTCTCTTGAGAGTCGTATCATACTAACACAATTTCACAATAATGAACTATTTGGAATGGAAAGTATACCTCAGTTGTAATGTTTAAGAAATTAAATTTTGGAACCACAGGGAGGATTCTGTCCTTATTCTGTTTTCTTCTTTGTTATATGGGGTAAAACCTAAAACTATTCTGACTAAATAAAAAGTGTGTGAACATACTTTGCTAACCAGCGTTACCAAAGGTTAACTCAAATTGGTTTATGGGTGTATTCCTAGAACCTAGTATATATAATGTTTGGCAAATGTACGCACTGCTTAAATAAAAGTCCAAAATATACATAAAAATATAAAATGTCATCAGTTATCATTATAATTCTTCTTTTACCTCCCTCTTCTCTACTCCCAAACCCAACTTTAAGACAATGCAGGAGAATTAAAAGCAAGGATAAATTTACTATATATTTCACACTGAAAATGAGTAATTTTCAGTTTAAAATTTCATGTACATAGTAGCTTATATTTCTCAAACACAAACTATAAAAGAAAACACCGAAGATACTTACCATCATTCCACTGACAGACTGTATTGCCAAAAACCCAGTTCCCTGTGGAGTAACTGGACCTTAAAAACAAAATAGAAAAACTAAAAAAAGAATACAAAGCAGCACAATTTTTATCTGGTTTTAAATAAATACTCTAATCGAAACCAGTAAAGATATGACTTAGGAATTAATTAAATGAATAAACCAAAATTGAACTCTGGTAGTGTACTGCCTAAGGCACTTGACTGCTAACCAGAAGGCTGGAGGCTCAAACCCACCATCCACTCCTCGGAAGGAAGATGGGGCAATCTACTTCCATAGTGATACTGCCTCGGAAACCCAAGGAGGGGTCGCTATGAGTTGGGTCTGACCTGATGGCACATAACAACAACAACATAATGATAAAGCCTAAATGGTTTATAATTTAAGCTAACAAGCAAGTTATTCCAATATTTCACCCCAAAATGTTGCTCCACAATGCATGTGCTGTGGGGTGTATTTTAGAAGCCTTTGCCTTCCATTGTGGTCTTCAATATAATAGAGCGGGATGGTCTGAAACCTCCTCCACCCTACAGAAAAAATTATTGGGTCTCGGGACTTGAGGATTTTCTTATACCAACGATGTTTCTTCAGACGTATCTGAAAGGAGAAAAAATTTCATTCAATAAAATCACTGGTGTGGACTTAAGTCCAATCATTTACAACAAAGGGTACCTACCTGCACATATCCAACATTGCCCTCACTATTGCCCAAACCACCCAGAATAATTGGGTGATGAGGGTCAAAGTTCAGCACGAATTCACAGGGGACATTTTCTATCTCAATCCGGACATACATCCCAGGTCGAAAACCCTCATACTGAACTCTGGTCACATCATCTTGATCTTCAAATTCTGCCCGGTTAAGCTATATATGATGGGGAAGAAAAATCCACAATACTGTTATTGTTAATAAGATAACAGTGTAAGATTAACATAAACTGAGTAAATAAATTGAGTAATTTCTAAATAAAGGAACCAGGAATGGAATTATTCAGATTTTATCCTAGTTAAAAAGAACATATATTTCACTTTTACTGTTTGTTCAGAATATGTCACAACTGGTTTTTTCTTTGTTGCTTCAAGATAACAGCAAATGTAAACAACTCAGAAAGGCATCCTACTGCTAGGCAGCAAATGCTCTCAATTTCCTCAATCAACACTTTTTAACTCTCCCAAAAAGGATTTCACATTTTTTCTTATGTCTTTCAATGCCAGTAACTCTTCCTTCATCTCTTCTGACAGCTGATGACTGTTTCCTAATTCACTCAAAAACATAATCTACTCGAACTTCTACAACCAATCCTCTACCAGGATTTACATCAATAAACAAAAAACAAACCCACTGCTATTGAGTTACAGAGCAGAACTGCTCCATAGAATTTCCAAGACTGTAAATATTTATAGAAGCAGACTACCTCATCTTTCTCCTGCACAACGGCTGGTGGATTTGAACCATCAATCTTTTGGTTAGCTCCTGAATGCTTTAACGACTACACTACCAGAGTTCCCTTATGTACTCTGGTAGTTAAGGTTGTGTGTCAGCTTTGCTGGGCCATGGTTTTGAGTGGCTGGGCAGCTGGAAGTAGTATTCCCCATGATAAGATTATAATCTCATCCATGTGGAATCTTCTGTGACCAGCAGCAGTTGCCTTCACAGTGTGGCCTGATTCTAGTAATAAGGAAAAGCCTTGAGAAAGGTCTCCAGCTTTCTGGATCCTGCATTTGGCCAAGTCTTCATCTCAGTAGCATGCCAATCTTGGGACTGTTCCTGGACTTGACCCAGTGGTCTGCCGTGTTGACTACTGATCGTGGGACTGTGCCATTCTACTTGCTGACCCTGGATTCATCAGCCTCAGCTGCCAGCAATTGCCTGAGTTGAGATGCCTCTAGCTCCTGTGGGCCTGGAGCAAGAGGAAGAGATGAAGCCCAAGGTCAAGAGGCCTTCACCCAGCCCCTAGAGCCAGCACTCTGAATTTGGACTTCTATTTTCCTAAACTGTAAGAGAATAAATTCCTATTTGTTAAAGCCATCCATTTGTGGTATTTCTATTATAGCAGCACTAGAGAACCAAGGCAGAATTTGGTACTAAGAGAGTGGGGTGCCACTCTATCAGACACCTAAAATGCGGAAGTAGGAGTGAAGCAAGTCCTTGGACCCAAGATCCCCATGCTGAGATCATGGCAGAGAGATAGCAGCAGCAGAGCTGAGACAGGCAGGAGACAGAGTGATAGGCTTGCGAACCCATGGATCAAGAAAGCAAAACGTCTCCGGGCAGGAGGCTTTTTGGCAGAGTGGGTTGCCTTTAGGCATTAATTGGCAGAAGCTGAGAGATCAAGGAAATGGGAAGTAGTATTGCCTCAGTCTCATAAGGTAGGACTCAAAGGCCTCTTCAGGTAAAAGCACCACAGCCTCCTAGGTTTCAAAGAGTCAGATCTTCATCTACATGGTTCTGGAGTATGGGGCTGCTGTACATGAGCACCAGTGGAATAGGGCCATATGTGCTGCCCAAAAGGGAGGGGGTGAAACTGCAATACCCAAGGGGCAGAAGAATAGGGCCTGCCAGGACAAGGGGATAAGGCTGTCACTCAGACGGCCTAAAAGACTCAGGCTACTCAATTAATCTGTATAGGTGCCAGGTTGACAAGGGGTGGAAACATGGTAGTTAAGGTTGTGTGTCAACTTGGCTGGGCTGTGGATTTTAGTGGCCAGCCAGCTGGATATAGTTATTCTCCATGAGACTGTAATCAACTACAAGGTGGAATCTGCTGTGAGCAGCTAAGTAGTTGCCTCTGGGGTGTGGCCTGCTTTCTGTATATAAGAAGCTTTAAGAAGGGTTTTTGGCACATCTGAATCCTGCATTTGGCTAAGTCTTCATCTCAGTGGCCTGCCAATCTTGGGATTGGGCCATTCTACTTGTCAGCCTCACCAGCCAGCAGCTGCCTGATTGAGATACCTCTAGCTTCTGTGGGCCTGGAGCAAGAGGCAGTGATGAAGCCCAAGATTGAGGGATCTTCGCATAGACTCTAGAGCCAGCACTCTGAATTTGGACTTCTATCCTCCTAAACAGTAGGAGAATAAATTCCTATTTGTTAAAGCCATCCATTTGTGGTATTTCTATTATAGCAACACTAGAGAACTAAGACATGTATCCAGAGCCAGCCTTTTATTATAGCTCTACACTGTCCAATATGATAGTCACATGTGGCTATTTAAATTGAAATTAATTAAAATGAAGTAAAATTTTAAAATTCAGTTCTTCAGTCAAACTAGCCACATTTCAAGCCATCAATATCCACAAGTGTCTAGAGGCTAATTAGAAATGTACTTGAAGGCTTTTAGTGACTCTGATGAGCATTTTCATATTTTGGTGGTTATGTTTATCACGAAGTTCTTTCGGATAGCAGTTACAGACCACTTATCCATTCCCCTATTAAATGCCAAACTTCACTTGTACACTAGATAACATCAACTCTTGCTGAATAGTTTTATTCCAATAAATCTTCCCTTTTATTTCTCTCATTTAAAATCTTGATTCCACTTCCCCCACCAACTACTGCCTCATTTCTCAGCAGCAAAACTCCAGAACAATTTTCCATAGTCCCAGTCTGCACTTCCTCTTCTCCCATTCTCTCTTAAATCCACATGGTCACATCTACCACCCCGTTAAAATGACTGTTAAAGTCACTAAAAGACTGCATATTTCTAATCTAGTGGTCAATTCTGTCTTCATTTAACTTATCACTAGGATTTGAAACAATGTAGCACTCCTTTCTACAATGGTATCCAGCATACCTGTTTTCTTAGATTACTTCCATCTTGCTGAGTACTGTGCAAATGCCACTGATATTTCCTTCTCTTTGCCCAACCTCTTATGCTGGAGTGTCCCGTGTTCTGATGCCCTCCCTCCTTCTGTATCTATGCTCACTCACTAGAATTCTTCATCCTATTCATGGCATTAAATAACAGCATCCATATACTAGAGGTTCTACATTTTAAATCCCTGCCCCAACCACTTTCCAGAACTCTCAACTGCCTATTTAATACTCCATTTACCTAAAAGGCAACTCAAACATAACATATTCAAACTTCATTTCCCTGCACAAACCTTTATCTCCTAGAGGGTTTCCTTAGGACAACCCAATCATAATTTCTCATCAGTCATCTTTATTTCTTCTCTCTCACACCCCAATTTCAATCCACCAGAAATCCTTATCGATCTACTTTTAAAATAATGTATATTCAGAATTCAATTATTTTCCTCACCTCCACTGCTACTTCACCAGTTTTTATCACCTTAATCTCTTACTGAACTAGAGAAATCTTTTCAAAGGTAAGTCAGATCATTTCTCTCCTCTGTTCAAAACTATTCAATGGCCTCCATTTCACTCAGAGAAATCCAGAGTCCTGAAACAAAAACTTCAGAACTAGGTTTACATGTCTTAGTCATTTCTGTCAAAGGGCATTACAGACTTGTAACCACTAAGTTAATGACTAATCAGGAGATACTCTGATCAGATGAAGTCTAAGTTAACCAAAACCTGAG